ATTAAAATCACCCATAATAATTTTTACATCATGTTTAGAGCAGGAGCCCCAGAAATGGTCAAGCTGATCATAAAAAGAATCTTTCTGATCATCATCCTTTTTCTCAGTTGGTGCATACATATAAATAATAATAGAATAGTTTATAATAAAATATTAATAATAAAATTTCCTCTTAGATGCAGGAGGTGCAATCTCAATCAAGTGGCTCGAAAATCTATGACCAAATGACTGACTTTTTTATTGAGTATTAAACCAGCCCCCATATAAATGCTTTGTTTTATGACAGCTATAAAAAAGGGTATGTTTTTTCATCTCCAAAAACCCCACTGCAGTCCATTGTATTTCCTGGAATGCCAATAAGTTTAACCCATAAGAATCCCATTTGATCAATCAACATTTGGATAGAGTTTTACTTTGATAAATTGTACTTACATTTGTCAATCCAAAATTCAGGTCCTTTGATCATTTTCTAGTCAAATTCCATAAAGGCGATCCAGTTTTTTGCTTCTTTAGACTTCAGAACAAGGATTTTTTACTGGGTAGAGTTAGCCTTATGCCCATTCCCCAACCTGGAGGACCAGTCCCCCCAGGGGTAGAGTACTGGGCTATACCTGGAGCAATGGGTACCCATTTTAGTTGCCATTTACAGCATGTATAAGCTACATTGGGACTATTCTTTCACACCTGTTGACTACATGGGTCATAAAAGAGCCTATTGAAGAAACATTTTCAAAATTTGATGTTCAATTTGATGTTGATTTCAAAATTTGATGTTCAAAGCAAAAACTTTTTTAAATTCGGTGGTGATGTGGTATATAAAATACTATTTTTATTTATTTATTAGTTCCTGTCACTGAAGAACTATTATTTTTAAACTTAAGCATGCAATAAAAAGGCAGGGGAAAGAAATGATTAAAGCAGCAGTCAATTTTAACATTGCCATCTAAGATACAAATGAACAACTAAATGCAATAGATTGCATACTGCATTACTACCAGAAATTTTTATGGTATGTTTAGATATTTCGGACAAGTGGTTAAAGAAGTTGAAACTGCTGTTATGCCAATTAATGGAGTTTCTAAAAGTGAAAGCTTAGACATTTCGAAGATGGATATTTATAATTTCTTAACAAATGGTATGTTTAGATATTTTGCACAAGTGGTTAAAGAAGTTGAAACTGCTGTTATGCCAATTAATGGAGTTTCTAAAAACTGAGAAATTTCGAAGATGGATATTTGTGATTTCGTAGCTTCTGTCAACCTTCCATTTGTTATAGACAGGAAAGTCTGTTTTTTATGGTTGAAAATTATTCTGTGAAGATTACTAGAATAATTTAACATAGGTAAAGTGATGTTGTTTCTTAATTTGTTGCTGAATAGTATACATCAGTACTTTTTAAATGTTTTTCATTTATGATCCCTTTTTAATATTGGTATTTTTTTCACAACCCCATATATGAAGTGTGAAATTCAGATGTAAAAATAAATATTCTCGTATAAATAATTTATTTGTGTGTAAGCAGTATAGATATGAAACAAAGTAGTTTTAGATTTCGTTTCAAGCATAAAGAAATTAATGAAAGGAAAATCGCCTTTTAATAAGACACATAGGCTTCCTCTTTTTTTGGAGGGGGGCTGCACTACAAATTAAATTGGGGTGCAGTACTTGACACTGCTAGACATAAAGCATCTTCTGTGGTTTTCAGCATTGAATAAATAATATTTGGATTTAATACACTAAGCATTAAAGGTGGAAAAGGTGCTTCACTTAAGCAAATAGTGCTAAATGACAGAACAACAATAACTGTCACTTTGTATATTATCCGAAATTTAATAATCCTCTCAGTAATTCGTAATCAAATCAATGGTTAGATAATTGAAAATTGACCTAATCATCATCTACTGTTTTCAGTGTTGATCTTTTTTAATAAAAGTTTCAATTTTACCATTTGTATGAATAATTATTATTTTAACCTTGAAGAGACAAGTTGAGATCGTATAGTTTCTAAAATACCTTGAATAATAGCACAGCTTTAATAGCCATAAATCATTTTGAAAAATAGCAAGATCAGATTTTTATTCGATCACAAATGTGATAATTTTGTCTTTTAATAACAATAATATTAAACTTTGCCCTTTGCACATCCATCTTATTTCTGCATGTAGTAATAAATTTTTGTGTTTGGAATGGAAATTTGAAAATAAATGGCTGTTCAAGGCATTGTTTTTAATAAAGTGTAATGAATTTTATGGCATCCTGAAGCACATTGTTGAATTCTATTTCTCATTTTTTTGCTCTAAGAGGCTCTCTATAGATAGGGCAGTTTATAAAAGTTACATAATCATTTTTCGAATTTTTAACAAATGATTTAAAATCAACATTTTCACTCATCATCTACTGCACCCTCTGTGTGTACTCCAATGTAGTTTTCCCGCAGTTTAAAAAAAAATTTTAAACATCTTCAGTTTAAAAAAAATTATGAGCTTCATTATATATTTTCCTTTTGTATATTCTTCCTAAGGATGATGAAATAATAATTCTTCACCAGTAATTTCTTTACAAATGTGAATAAAATATTCTAAGAAATGAGGTATTTTTTAAATATCAATTGTTTCAATCATTTTGATCCTTCTCTAAGTGTAATAAAAAGTTGTTCGAATTGATTGTCATTTATTTCAGAAATTCTATTGGTGAAAGTGTCTTTTGACAAAGAAATTTTGTGAATTCATTGCTATATTTACTTGTTTGAGATATTTTTACCATTTTAACAGCAGCATATAATAAAATATCTTCTCCAGTGGTATATGGCTTTTTATTTTCAGATATTAGATATGAAATTTTGTATGACAAAAATATTTTTCACTAACAGTCAAAAGTTTCTCAAAATATTGTATCTCTTTATTTGAGGATTTTTAATAGTCGTTCGAAATATTCTTTTTGTTTATTGATGTATGAGGGATGCTTGGATTCAAGATATCTTTTTTTATTTTATGGTTTCGTACTCTCCATAACCAAAACATTATTATTGCAAATTAAGCAAAGAGGTTGTTCATTAGCACCATAATTGTTGAATGTAAAGTTAAATTTGCTTTTTTTATGCATATTAGATACCTCTATCTGATTAGTAGATCCTGCTTGAAGCAACTTTGTAACATTGCTATCAGTGTTATTCCTTTTTTTTTTTTTAACCCAAGTTTAACAACTGTATTTGTTGGTAGAAAATGTTTTTATTCTAAAATGTGAATAAAATAATATCTGTTGCAATAATTGTACAAATAAATACCAGACTTGCAGAGTTAACATTAATAAGTTATGATTCATGCAATTCGCCCACTTTGTTACATTGAAACAGAAACAACTGATTGGCACTGACCTTATTCTCGGCAAGTCTGCAAGGCACAGGATGTTAGGTATTGTGTGTTTGCTTCAGATTTTGATTTTTAAATTACAGTCGCCAATCTGGTATAATGGTTAGTGAAGCTCACTGCCATACCGATGTGCCTAGGCTCGAATCCCAGAGAACACTCTGATATTTTGAATTCCAGAGATGGTTTGTCTGTGTGCAAAAAGGCACTCAAAATACTTGACAAAGGAAAAGTACTTTCAAAAGGTTGCTAGTAGACGAAAACAAGTGGGAGATCGCCGGACTGCCTTCTGAGGTGTTCTCCCTCAAAGCTGGAGCAGAAGCTTAGTTAGTTAGGCTAACAAAATGCATAGGTGCCACTCTTGCTTCAACTTGTACATCTTGAAACTGCAATGCAGCATCACTATTATGATGTGCCTTGTTGTAGCTTTGAATATGTAAATATAACTCACAGCTCAACTCGACCAGTATTACGATTTTAGAACAATGCTGTACAGAAAATGTTACATATTAAATTAAAGACATTGAAGGGATTGATTCTAAATAATATATGTTTAAATTCGCGTATTAGCATTACATTTTTGTGACCTTAACTTTTTGTTTTGTGATCCCATCTGAACCCCTGGGGTTGGATATGTTGGTTTGGTATCGTACTGTGACGTTAGCGTCATAATGACACAAACCCGATTCCTATGGCCAGAAACCATAATGGCCATGAACACAGAGTTATAGTCACTGTTGCCTCACCCTGTCATGGTCTCTGGCACCACAGGTTTGACAAGTGCCCAATGGGCTGGTTCAGTGATGGGATTTTGAGAGAGTTCGTTCTGTGTATATCTGTGTTCCCAGACTAAGGCCTCTGGTTCATAGCAAAAAAGTAATTTGTTGTATCTACTATCCGATGTGATTCACAAATAATTTCCACCTCTTGCCTAATATGGAGGTATCTTTAACTGGAAAATTTTGTCTTTGTAGAAAACTTCAGTGAAGAACATTTAATTCTTCATCTTTATTGCAATGCTGATAGAAATGAAAAGCTAACACCTTGAGCTGTAATTATAACAAAGGCATTGTTTTAGAACAATTAAATTACTCTTACTAGACGTGATGAAAAAAAAGGAGTCATTTCAGGTTTTTAAAAAGGTTTTTCATATATTAAATAGGAAAATAAAATTTAAAAAAAATGCAAAATCATTCTTGGTTGCTGTATTTTACCAGAAATAAGTAATGTATTCAAAAATATTTTATTTGTAATTATAATGAGAATTATACTAAAATATTTTAATTTCTCATTATTTAAAGTTTCAGCCTATGAGTCCCTCCATAGTGAATGGCAGAAGAATTTTCTAATTTCTTTTTTGATATTATGAAATATTTCCTGTATCATGCATTCCTGCAAGTTTTTTAAGTGTTGCTGTAGAACGAAATAGAAAAGTCTAGGCTTCTCTATACAAACAGTAAAAAAATTCCTTGTCCAATAAACTAGGGTTGTATATTATCTAAACATATTTAGGATTTTTTTTTTTTTTTTTTTCCATTTTTAAGATGAATATACAGCATTCTATTGCAGATAAATGTTAAATTTTAATGTATATATATATATTAGATAATAATGATTTTTACTCTTTCTATACAGGTGGGAAGTTAGATTTGATCAGTATGGTAGAAAATATTATGTTGATCATAATACTCGAAGTACTACATGGGAAAGACCTCAGCCTTTACCTCCTGGGTAAGATTATTGTATTGCTGTAACTATTTTAGTGATATATTCATGTAGAACCTTTACCTTTAGTGTAAGATTATTATATTTCAATAGTTACTTTAGCAATGTGGATGCAGAGAGAAGGAAAGGTGCTAAATTAAAATAAAAATGCTTTGAGAATTATTTCTGTGTAGTTACACTAAAATATTCAGCTATTTTTTTAAATTGTTGTTACCTTATGTAGGATTTTATTTTTCCTCTAAAGATAATTTTGTGCAAGCAAAAGTATCTACAGTTTGCAGCTTACAATATATCCGCATCTATAAGCCAATAATTTTTGGAACTTTTTCTAAGGCTAAAGTATGGAGTTTGGCTTATGGATCTGCTGATCTTTGTGTGTGTGGGGGGGGGGTGGCTTGTTGTTATTCATATGTACAAGTTTTGAATTTTTGGTAAATTTCTGAAGAAAAAAAACACGCTCTTGGCTTATATTCAGAAATATACGGTACTTGATTTTATATGATATTTAGAAAATATTCTGTTGTCAAAACTTTTGAGTCAAACTTTTCTGTATTTATGTTATTTATTATTTATTTGGAATTAAGTAATTTTATATGAATTTTTTCTCCCAAGTCTCTCGTAAAGAAAGAAAAAAAAAAAAAAATGAAGGATTGAATACCTAATTAGATCAACACTTAACTGCTTAAGGAATCTAATATCTCAGTTAGGTGCTTTCTTTTATACTCTTATATGAATTTTTGTTTATAAATAGGTAGAATTATGTTAGATATCTTGCATCCATTAGTGGTGCATAGCTGCAAGGTTGTTACATACCAGAAAAATATTTTTTCCAGGAGGCATAACACAAAATTAGGAGTATTTGTTTTTCAGAGAAGTAAAACATACCAGTAGTGATATAGTCACAGAAATTTTAAATGTGATTAGAAATGGTCTCCATCTAAAGTAAGGGTAATCTTATTTCTGACCATATTCTTCAACAATGTTATTAAAAAAAACCCTTTTCAGAGCTATCTTAATGTAAGTAAAGAAGAAGAAAGCATTGCTGTTTTCCTGTAAATATTCACAAATAAGTCCTTTATGAATAATTTCATTCTTGTTTTATTTTTTAATGATTTAAAACGACTGTCATTGCCTTTCATTGAAATGTTTAACAGCCAAAATTGACATGGGGACAGATTTTAGAGGCCATTTCAGGAAATGGCCAAAAAGCTTTGCATTTAGTCTCTTTATTGTAGTAGGATGCTTTTATAGTCCTTTATCTTTAGGTAAAAGGTGACCTTTTTTTTAACAAAGTTCACTGTTGAATTTTGGGCACAGCATGGTCTTGTTAAGCATTCTTGAAAGTGTGTTGTTATCACACAGTGTTAACTCCTCAAATCGATTGTTTAATTAATCAGAAGGTATCAGCTGGAAAGAAGTAAAAAAGGAAATAAATGATAAGGAACAAGAAGCATCTATAATAGAAGTTGAAGATGAATGTAATGCAATTTTAGAAGTGCAGTAGAATCTCTGTCAATCAGATCTCTTTCAATCGAGGTAGCAATCAGTTTTAAAGAATCATTCAGGAAATGCAGTAATATTAACAAATTTACAAGAAAAATCAGCAGTATTGGCAAATTCTGTTATCAGTCATTGAACTTTTGGCTTTTCTTATCAGTGATGTGTAATTGAAAACCTTCGTATTGTGCATTATGGTAAAGGTAGTTTAAAAATGAAAGCAATACTAACAATTAACATTGAATGAAAATGAATTTATAGACATGTGTCGAAGGATAAAAGGATATAAAGATGTTGTTTTGGATGACATTTCAGAATGGGAAAATGCCGAAAAGAGTAAAGTGATAAAGAAATCATTTCTATAGTAGATCTACATAATGATAAAACAATTGAGAGTGGTACTGAAGATGATGATGAAGAGAGAATGAATAATGTAAAAAAACTAACCATACTGAAACCTTGAGCAAAGCCTTTTTTATATAGAGCAATGTCCTGATGCTTCTGCTGTAGTTCTTTTGCTGATTAAAAACTGGCTTGATCATGCAACAGCTGATAGAGTACAGGGTTACAGAAAAAAGAGTAAGAAAACATTAAAAAAATTGTCTCCTAAAAATACAGATAAGAAATTTGACAAAAATTAACAGTTTGCATAACTTTTTTAAAAGGAGTTTATTTCAGACCCCCTTGAAATTTTTTATCAGAAGTAAGATTGTGTGTCAAATTACTTATTAATGGCAGGAAACCAACTTTATTTACTAATTTAAAAAATTGTTAAAATATTAATAGTGCTTGTACATTATTTTTAGAATTGAAATAAACAATTTCAGAAAACCATATTGAAAGAGATATTGGCATTATTTAAAATTTTCTTTTAATTGTGTTTTTGGTTATCAGTGGTGGTTGTGGTCCTAGTAAAAGTTTCAAAAAGTAATATATATATATTTTTTTTCATATTAAAAAAGTAAGATTGTTTTAATTTAAATCTCATAGCTTTATGAAATATGATTTAAAGACAAATTAATATTAAATAAAAGTGCTTATAGATGGAAGCAGAAAATAATGCTATGTTTAACAGACATATCATATCCTTGCTTACTCTAAGCAGAGGTTATATAATTTCTGCACTAGATTGTGTAAGAAGAAAATAGCCTCTCTGTTTAAAATTTTAATGCTACATATTTGCATTTGTGGAGGAAAAAATTGTACAGATTTGTCTAATTGATACTTTTTATTATTTTTGTCTTAAAAGGGTTTGAAAGGTTGGTGTTATCTATAAAAAATTCAAGTAACTTTTGAAAAATCACCTCAGAATTTCTGATGTATCCCTGTAGTCAAACTGTAAAATTCTGTAGCAGTAATAAAATTATCAATTTGTTTTTTAAGTCAGGATGAAAAATATTTACAGGAAGTCATTTTAATAAATAAAAATAATAATAATGATTTGAATTTAGAAAAGATTACTGCTAGAGGCATAAATGCCACATCTATATAACTTGTTTATGAAATTTTGTAGCTTTCTACCTATCATCCCTGCTCTGCATGACGCATACACCTGCAGACTTTTTCTATAATTGTAGATTCTTGCTTTTAGTATTATTTGGTATGATTTTATATAACTTTCCGGACTTTTAAGATTGCTCAACAGTTTATTCCATATAAATTAATGATATTGGTTCTTCGATTAAATCACTTGAACTTAATAAAAAGTTTTTTTAATCGCTGTACCTTTTGCAAGCATGGGAAACGTGTAATAAAAACCAGTCTGTAATTGAAATCCAAATAAAACGGATTTGAATAACATTAAAATACAATAATAACCGGTGTTCAGGGTTGTATTGGCAAAATGAAGAATGTTATACTTTTGGTAATAAAATGTTATGCATTAAGATGCAGTTACATGTGAAGATGTGACTTACGCAAGCCTGTATCATTTATTTACTTATACTTTCCCTTGGATGATGTTACGAGCCTGATACTCTATGTGATTGTCACTGAAACTGTGAATCAATCCAGCAACCTTGATGGAAAGATATGATTGCATTTGATGGCCACAGTAACTCTAGAAAAATCAATCTGGCAGCCCTGATGCAAATTGATGTATGATTGACATTCATTAACTGGGAGAGAATATGTAATTATAAGTGAACTGTTTTATCATCGCCTATGGAATTTGGCAGAGATCCTGCCAAACCTGTGGCTTGCTGTTTGTTTAGTTACTTAGTTTCTTTCCTTCTTTCTTTTTTAAACAAATGTGATATAGTTAGCTTGTATATGTAATTAATCTGTATAGGTATGTGTAAATATATATGTAATTAATCTGTATAGGTATGTGTAAATATATATGTAATTAATCTCTTTTCTCAAACTAAATGTATTGACTCTATAATTAAAACTGCACATAAATTTTATGTGCATTGAACTTGTTAAAGTGTTGAATAAAAATGTGTGTTATTAAATGTTCTAATCTTTATTTAACTTATATGTATAATTAATTTCTTTGTTTTAGGATACAAATAGCTTACAGTTCTGTTTTATTGTAAATGTATATATTTGCTCTGCAACTGGTCAGTTTTTATACTGACATTATGATGCAAAATTGAAAAGCTTTTTATTCACTTCCAGGTGGGAAATGCGTCGAGATAACAGAGGAAGAGTCTACTATGTTGATCATAATACACGGACTACTACATGGCAAAGACCAACTGCAGAAAGTGTAAGAAATTATCAGCACTGGCAGTCACATCAAGCTCAAGCTATGCAGCAGTGTCAACAGAGGTTCCTATATCATGTATGATATTTATGTTTTTTAAAATACTGTAATATGTTATTACTATATTTCTCTATGAACATATTAACTTTAAGGTGTGTAACCAGATTAATATCTCTAAATTAAGACATTTACAGTGCGTTATCATATTATTGTATTATCAATAGGTTATTAAAGCTAATTTGTTGTCAATTCTAATTTTGTATATGACAGATTATTTCTTCTCGGTTTGCTTTCAGTGCAGCTAAATAATAATTTATTCAAAATATACTTCAATTTTGTTTGAATTGATTTAAACAAGTGCAGGAACTATATTAGTTAAATTTATAAAAGGTAAAATCTTATGATTTGCTTTGAGGTTGTACTTTTGTGTAGGTTTATTTGGCTGATATTTTTAATTATTAGAAACAACATTTTACAGTTTTTTTCCTTGTCATCTATTTCTGAGGTTCTCAACCGGTGGTATGTGTACCACTAGTGATACGCAAAAAAGCTTTGTATTTTTAACTATTAAATTTAAAAATTAAAACCCCAACATCCTGATTGAGTTTTTTCTCTAACACTGATAAATTTATGCAATCTGAGCTTTGTTTAAGAGTGGTGGTGGTAATAGTACCTTGTAGTGGTCGTACTAAAGGTTTTCATTTTTTGTTTAGATGGTAGGCATTAGTCAAAAGGTTGAGAACCGCTGATCTATTTAATTCTAGCATATCTGGTGAAGTAATTACTATAACAAAATCAAATATGCTTCAGATTTTTTGAACTGACTTTGAACAGATTTTTGTGTAAAAACATAAAATTAAATAAAAATAAAAAATTTTTATAGTGTAAACTATAATGAGGGGGAAAAAGCATTAGCAAAAAAAATATTGTGTTTTTGAATTGCTTCCAGATTTAGCATTTAATATTGTAAATGTAACCACAAGCTAGATTTTCCAGAATGAGTTTAGTTCACAAAACTCACATAAGCAAGATTAGTTATCTCTACTTAACTGGGTTAAACTGGGTCTACCAGTTACCAATAATTTTTGCTCTTCACAAAGTAGACTTTTTTTTAGATACACATTGTTTCTTTTTTGTTGAACTTAATGATTAAGAAAGGGGCGAATTTCATCTTTTGCATTTCATTACATATTTCTGAACGTGATATTCATTAATAAAAAAGGAAGTGTTTTATCTTTATTGTGTACAAAATTTTATGTAGTATGCATGAAAAGGTCCTTTTGCTGTTTTTATTTTTTCAACCATTAGTCATAAGCATATGCTTCTAGTTATGATAATATTTTAAATGATTCATGTTTTGCATCTTTACATTAAAAAAAATCAATTTTATAAAGATTAAAAGATTTAACTTTTTATATGGTTATATAGGATTCCTATAGTTATATTTAGTGAAAGTTTGACTCTTGTATGGCAAAAATTGATTGATAGATATAATTTTAAAGTTTAGAAATTTTTATAATATTTCATTTTATAGATTGTGTTGAAAGTCAAAGTTACTCTCTCTCCTTAAGAAATCTGTAAAAAAAAAAAAATTAAGATAATTTAAAGATTCCCCCCGTAATTTAATGTCACTTGCTAGTATTACTTTGTGATTTATCATCATGTAATTTTTAATTTTATTGCACTTTTTGTATCCAAAGCATTTTCATGCAAGTAATTTAGAAGCTTAAAGATGGTAAAAATATATTAATAATATTCCCATGCAGTTTTATTAAAGTTTATAATCTATTAGTCACGGAAAGAAATTTATTGGTCTAGAAATATTTTTCATTTTTAATTTTACAGATAATATTACAATTTGGCTATATGCCAATGTTTAAAATTCGCTACTATTTCTGAGGAATAAGATCTTGAAACAATTTATATTGATCAAAACATTTCATGACAGTCTGCATATGAGTGCCTGTCTCTTAATCTATTATTGTCAAGACTTTTTTAAACTGATGCTTCATTTTTAGTTACATACAGATTTAAATATTTCACCGTTCAGAAAATGTGATCTCAAACTGTAGAATTGAATATCATTATCAGTTTTTCTCATAAAAGAGTCTGATTTTTTTGTACTTTATTTTTTTAATTGAGTATAAACTTTTACTAAACATAATTAAGAAATCAGAAAACTGTATAAAAAATTAAGTTTTTGTAATTTTTACAAAAAAGATTTTATAAAATATCAAATTTGCTAAAATGTAAATACTTCTCTTATTTAAAACATTTTAGAAATAAATGTCTACAACCAGTAGTTGAGAAAATAAAGGCCACATCAGTACTTTTATGGACACAGTATATATTATATTATGAATGTTAATAGTTTTTTTATTATTATTTTTATTTTGTAGGGTGATCAAATATATTATTTTTTTAATTGTATTTTCAGCCATCCACTGAGCATTTCATTCCTCTGCTAAAGTACTGACATGAAATTAATGTTTTATATAAATTTCATGTGTGTGCATTAAATCTGTCTTATATTTTTTATGCTTTTGATATAACTGTTTAGCTGAAATTTTGAATGTCATTTGACTGCAAGCAAAATATACTATCAGTTTTTAAGTTCATCTTAAAAACAGGTACCTTCTGAGAAAAAATATGATGTTTTACTGCACACATGCATAATGCAGTGCAATTGTATATCTGTATACAAAATTGCATAAATAGTGTAAATACATGTTCTGGGATTATAAGTGTAGTTTTGGAATTGTATAGAATAGTTTGGAATTGTAGTTTTGGAATAGTAGTAGGATTTGGAATTGTATAGATCCTCTTAATATCAAAAAGTTTATTTAGTGTTTTTAAAATGACATTGAACTTTGTCCTTTGGTCAGAGTGAATGAGAAAGAGCGTTTCAAAATGAAGTTTTGTATGAAACTATTAAGTTTGGTTAGAAACAAAATTAATTTCAATCCAAAATCTCTGATGAAATGATGGATTACAACCATTATATATTTGTCACTGTCAACTGTCTGAGATAATGAATGATTGAAAGCAATTTTTTCAAAAGGCAATGCTACTGTTTAGCAATGTAGCATTTTCAGGAATATGTCCTTGCCCTTTTTGTCATATATAGCATGCATTGCAGGACTTGTGCTTATCTACTTTGACCTTGTTCCTGTATGTTTAATGGAGGATCGTCTTTGCATAGGAGTGTCTATCATAATGGCTTTTGCTTGGTACTTAGTAACTGCCAAAGCTGTTTTCCAGTGTCAGTTTTTAACCAGGTAAATATCTTGCTTCTCTAGGTGCGTAAAGTCTAAGAATGATTTATTTAGTTTTACTTTCAGTTTGTCTGGCTTCCTTACAAGATCTGTTACAATTTACATCCGTTATTTCTATTTATTACATCATATTTAAATCTTCAGTTTTGAGCTCTGTGTAATATCATTGGCTCAGGAATATATATTTAATATTTTTGAGATAATTGCAGTTTTTATGATTGGGGTAAAAAATGACATGTTTTCTTTGCAACAAATATTAACAATGATGAAAGCTCTCGTACAGTATTTTTTTATTTCATATATATATATATATATATATATATATTTTTTATTTCAAGGGCTTTTATTGAATTTTATATATTGAATTTGTGGTTATGTGCCAATCCTTTTTAGTGAGTTACAGTAAACATCTTTCAGTTGTTCTTGCTGCAAAACATGAGTTTGGTGTGAAACGAAAGTAAAATATTTTATTGCTATTAGGATAAGTCTGAACCCTCTGAACATTATTGGTTTGCTTCTAAAACCCGAACATTCGCCAAAACACCATAAATAAGTGGCATTTCTTAAAAATTGTAATTTCAAAATTCTCCTCTCATACTATATTTTGATTACTTTTCTTCCAGTTTGCATCCATCCCGAAATTGGATCCATCAGAAACTGGCAAAAATTTTTATGTGTAAGCCATACGTCTGTCAAGAATTTTATAGAGGGTTGAAGAAATATTTGTAATGGGACATGATTCTCCTCTTTCCTTAACCATTGTCCATTTCTTCAGTTTTGTAGTGGCAAATGACGGCATTCTTTTCACTGTTCTTTTTGCACATCAGAGTGCATTTCATGTGTCAGTAGCTCTTACTACTACATCTAAAAATCATTGCAAAACTGTAAACTGTATTTTTTCTTTAATATTAAGGACACATTTGCGTTTCCAAGCTTTTTTTCCCTTTAGATCATCAACAGAAATGGCCTTCTGTAAGCCCCCCCCCCCTTTTTTTTTCAAATTCACTGTGGATTTTATGTTTATTATTAACCACTTAATATTTTGCATTTACTGTCACTTCTGCTTTCATCAGCTGTCATGAGGATGCAATTTACTTAACGGGTATGAGAACAGAGTTCTTGATCTTAAGTGCTTGCAGTGATCGCTGACCATCTTAATAGTATTTTTACCCATCGTCCAAATTTATTTGAATCAACCGTTGCTGACCATGTTTGTGTTCACATGAGTCGAGGGCCTGAAACAAAATTGTAGGTGAACTTTTTTTGTCTAGTGAATATCTTATTAGAAACACTTATTTGAAAGTTTTAATGTTTGTATTCCGTTAATCCTACAAGTAGCAGTCTTCCGTTGTTACACAAGCTGTGTATATTGTTCAGCTAAAATCCAATAAAAAGGTTTGTTTTAAATGTTCTTCTGTAATTGATGTTACTTCACCGAAAGCTTAGGATGGGGTGATAAGTCACCTGTCTACATGGAGCCAGAGATAATATTTAGAGAAATTAGGTTTTATAGACATACATTAGAAAACGCTGCTAAAACTTTATAATATCTTCTAGTAGATATCTATCAAGTAATTCTCAAACCACAAGTGTTGGCCAAATTCTTCAAAGCTTTGAAGTGCCCTTCCTTCTTTTTTTGGTAATGTTTGAAGAATTTCAGTTAACTTTCCTCTCTGGTGATATAATGAGCTGAAAAATTCTGGAAATGGATCTCCATCACTGTGAGTGTTTCCTTGTGAAAGTAGGAGATATAGATGTTTTCCTAACCATATTTCCATTATATGGTGAAAGTTTGATATCAAG